TATCTCCGTTCAAGTGATGATTGTGCTGTAACCTCTGGCTCCATCCACATTTCTGGTCTGGGTAGAGCAGATCTTGGCGATGAATGAAAACCATAGCTGTCTTATCGAATAGCAGCAGTACTTGTTTTGTTTAATAGTGCTGGAAATTAGTTTTTCAGGCACTGATCTTGACAGGTCAGCTGTCAAAAGTGGGTGTCTGTGGCCATAAATTCATCGATCCCATAAAACACATTCCGTCTGCAAAATACAAGAGGAAGTGAGAGTAGACACACTCATGTACAAATGAAATGGTCTGCAGCCATACGACTAAGTGTCAGGACTTCTTTGGGTAAAAGGTTTTTCTGGCTTCCCATTTATCAAGCCTATCAGCCTCATTTGGGTTTTATTGACTGAAACATTTTCCAGCGTGCTGGACGGGGCACGGGGCACTGGGCGCCCTCAAAGGTGCCGGCAGCCTTTCCAAACCCTGGCTGGCTGCAATAGGAAGATTCGCTCTGCCTGGAGCACCGGCCTCAGCCCGACGTGAGGGAACAGTAAACCTTCCTGCCCAACACCAACCATCCTGGATCCCGGACCATGGTTGCACTTTGATGTGTGTCTAAGGCAGAATTGTGGTTTCTCTTTGAAGTATTTGTTCTTTCTTTGTCAAGGAACAGGATGCCTAAAGGCCAGGGAGAGAGAAGTCTGTATTAAAACAAAATAAGACAAACAAACAACAAAACTTTTAGGTTCTAAACACTTTTAGACAAAAAGATAAGGATGATAACAGGTTTTGAGGAATTTTATTTTTCCTCTCATGAAGTTCCACTTTGATTTAAAGCGCCTTCTGGCATTCAGGTTGTCTGGATATTAGGTGAGTTGAGTTGGTACTGTTCCTCTTTGTTAGTGGAGAAAAATTGCTTATCTTCATGCGTCTGTGCCTCAGCTGTGGCCACTTCCCATCTTCCCACCCTGCAGGTTTGTGGAGCCCCGCGCCACCTCTGAGTTTCTCAGCACAGGAGCTGCTGTCTGGTTAGTAAAACCAACAGCATGCCGCGTCTAGATGAGCCACTCCCAGGCCAAAGTTCCTTGGAGCCAGAGCACTGGTTTAATGGTGTCTCACTCTCAGATTGGCCTTGACATACTGACAGATAATTTCACTCCAATCATTTCCCCGACATTCAGTTTTCAGTCATATAAAGACATGTGATGGGATATTGCTTAATCATCTGTGCTAGTTATTTTTATCAAAATCCTATTTCCTTCCTATTAAAGTAGCGAGAAACCTGTTAAAAGATGAAGAGCTTAGAGAAGGTAACAGTGACTATTTATAATTCCACTGCCTATTTGTAATACATATACCCATGTACCACATTTTGATGTATCTCCTCCCATATTTACCACTGCTTAAAAATAATTAAGGTTGTATTGTACACACCGTTGCATATCCTGATTCTTTATTTTTGTGATTCTTAATTAAGATATTTTATAATAGATTATTTCAGGATTATTTTCTCTTTTGAACATCCTTTTACTGGTAGGCAGAAGAGATATTTTTATTCCACTTTGCAGATTAGAAAATGGAATCTCAGTGAACTTTAATTTATTGAACAAATATTTGTTGACTGCCTCCTACATTCCAAGCACTGTGTTGTCACTCAGGTAAGTGGTAAGAATAGCTAGAACCTAGGTCAACTGACTCATAGACATCTGCTAATTTCATGTTTCCAATTTCCCATTTTCTAGACCAGTTATAAAAGTTGTTCTTGGAGAGGAAAACCTGGTGTTTGAGGCAAGGTTGGAGACCCTGAGACAGGAGTGAGCAAGACAGGGTCCAACCCAGGAGCCTGAGTTTCTAGACAGCTTATGAAGACAGGGTGTGACTCCAGAGAACAGAGCGAGAATCCCAATCCCACACTTGGCTCACAGATATAGGCCCAGAGTAGAAGACCCTGGGCATCATTTCTATTGCAGCTCTGCAAAAGCCACCGATACTGGGCTAAAGATGTGTTAGTTGCCATGACTATATCACACTAATGTAACATCTCAACAAAGGGGGGGAACTGGTTGTGAGATATATAGACATAATCTGTACAATTTCTACAACTTTTCTGTAAATCTAAATTTATTCTAAAGTGAAAGTTTGTTTTTAAAAATGACGTGTCTGAGATAAGGGTGAGGGATTTGGTGGGGACTGTAGTATACTTTGGCTACATAAACTGAAATGAGGCTGAGAGTCAGGGTTAGTTCTAGATTAGGAAGGCCTTTCTTCTAAGACAGCACAAAAATGTTCAGATTTATTCTGTAGGAAGTGGAAATTCATTAGCAGATTTTCATTAACATAGTTCATGTTTATTATTATAAAGATCATAACAGCATGGTGGAGGATGGGCCAGCAGAGAGAGGAGTCGGGGGAATGAGACTTAGTGAGGAGGCTGTTGCAAAGGTCTGGGCAGAGGTGGTGCTGTCTGGAGCCAGGCAGGGGCTAGCAGCAGAGGGTGGTGTGGAGAGCCGCCGAGAGGCAGAGCCCTTCTTGGAGCTGAGCTGAAACCCTAGCAGGACATGGCTTAACCCCAACTGCTTCTTCCTGCCTCCGTTCTCCATTCTCATCCCCGATTACAATCCCAATAGAAAGACAGGTGATGTCTGGTTGACCAAGGCTGAGCCAAGCCCCATTCTAGGCGCTCATCCACGCCAGGGAGCAAGGAGTCAAGATGCCCCTTCACCGTGCCAGCAAGGTTTGGCACCAGAAGTTAGGAATTCACGTCCTGGTGCATGTAAGTTAGAATATCTAGTCTCTGGTACCGACACATCATCATTTTGACAAAATTGCCTCCATTATGACTCCATGAGCATGGCGACTGTGACGAGGACCTTTGTAGTGCCACCCACACCCAGGAGGAGGAGCAGACCACAGGTCAGGGGTAAGGAACGCCCTGCCTGGGCTAAGCATCATGGGGATGTGGATGCAGGCAGCCACATACATGCCCACTCCTGCTCCCCGAGTCCACGTTGGAGCATCCAAAGAATGCTGGCAGTCAACTCTGTGACTCTATCCATCTGAGTTTGTCCTCTTCCCTTTGATGAACATTTTAGTCCAGAGGCAGGAATAGATTCTTTGTCCCAGCGCTATTTCTTAAGACCCAAGGTAGAAACAGCCATGATATTTCCTTCTTGTTGTACCAACTCCCAGAGTGTGGTATGTTTGGCATCTTTTATGTCCTTGAGCAGAATTCTGGGTAGAACTTCATCTGTTCTTTGCTGCAGTGCCACCCCCTCCAAATTAATTAGTAGTTGGGGGGGCTCTTCAGAGTACATGACGATGCTCTTAACTAAATTGCTCATTTATCACTGCCAAGCATCCTATTTAGAATGGAGTGGGTGCTGGTGGGTATCATGTCCAAAGTGACAGCAGGTTCCTTTCCAACTGGCTGTGGAACTCCATACCTTATTCTGATGGTTTTGCTTCAGGCCTCAGATTGTAGAATCTTCCAGGTGGAGTGGGCCTTCAGGTCCTGGAACCGTGGCCTACGGTCAGGGCACAGTGTGCAGACTCTGCTGCAGATGGCAGGACTATGTGAAATGCCAAGGCAGTAGAAGCATCCTTAAGTGGAGCAATTGCAATTGGTGGCTCCTTTAGGGCCCCAGTGGCACCTCTCCACAGCGGGTACTTCTTCTGTCTGGGTTAAGTAGGGGTCTTATGGATTTTCCTTGACAAACAGTCGATGCTGCCTGTAGCACTTTGATCATTTAACCCTTTGCTATTTAGATGGTGGTCCACAGGCCAGCAGCAGTGGTGTTGCCTGGGAGCTTGTTAAACGTGAATAACCTCAGGCCTCCTGAGTGAGGAAGCGCGTGTGAAATCCCCAGGTGATTGCAGTGTGCGTCATAGTTTGAGAATCACTGCTTTAATCTACAGCAGTGGTTCACAGTCTGGCTGTGCATTCAGATCACCCGGGGAGCTAAAATATCCATTTCTAGCTCACTACAGACCAATTAAATAAGAATCTCTGGAAGTGGGGTCCAGCCTCCAGTATATTTTAAAAGCTCCCTTAAGAAATCATGATCTGCAGCCAAGTTAGTCTCCCAGAAACCTAGATGAGCAGGGGCCCTCAATCTTGGTCTCGATATTAGGGTCACTCGGGAAGCATTATCACTCCCCATGCCCAGGCCCTGAGGTCCTGACTTAGTTGGCTTGAGATGGGGCTGGGTGTCTGCATTTCTTTTTCTGTCTCCCCAGTTAATAGTTGAGATCATTGACCAGACAAAAATCTTGATATTGTCATATAAACGCTGCAGGGGTGCAGGGAGGGAAAGCAGTCCCAAGGACAACTGTGTCCCTGTTGTTTCTGAGCCAGGCTAGGGTCTCCTTGGCCACTTGAGGGTGCCAGTCAGAGATGCTGTTAGCTATTGGACACACCCTGCAGGCTGAGGAGACTATAGCAGATTTGTGCTGTTACTAGCCTCTGCCTGCACATCAGGGGAACTGATGGAGCTTGCATGCCAGTGAAAACAGGCAGGAGGCTCTGGGCCCTGCTTGCGATAGTCACCGGGGTACAAGGTGAGCTGTGCACCTGCGTCTGCGTTGCCTGCTCTCCTGCTGAGCCTCATCCTGTTCACAGACACAACAATGGCTAAACTCAAGTGCCCTGTGGCCCGGGCAAGTCACAGGAGTAAGTTAAACAAAGAGGGTACTTTCTGGGGTACACAGTGACCTGGCCTCCATGGGTGGACAGAATAAAACTGGACATCAGCATTCCTGCTAGAGACGTGGTCTCACCAACTGGTTTCCTTTTAGGGGTGCCGAGTTCTAGAGATCCAGGAAAGCTGACGGAGGAGGTGGCCACCTTCGTCTGTTCCATCTCTGTTCTCTTTAGGGTTTGAGGTGGCTTTGTCCTCTGGGAAACCCAGAGCGCTGCTGTCCACCTCCCTGTCTGATTCAGGACGCAGTTTAGGAGTCAGGGTCCTAAGGTGTGCACAGGGCCTGTTCCATCCCTCACCCTCCCTGTTTTCCTTCGCAGCTGGCTACGTGGGACTCGGAGAAGGGCCTGAACGGCAGCCTGCAAGAGAGGCCCATGGGCAGCCGCCTCCAAGGACTGACTCTCAAAGTGGTGACTGTCTTGGTAGGATCATGGGGATATTCTGGAAGCTTCGCCGTCCAGGCCTTTGAGTCAGTGGCTGCTTTCTATGTAATGCAGGGTTTGGAGAGAAGGGGGTCTTGAAGAGTGGTTGCAGCTTTCGTTAAAGCTTTTCGTTTAAGTACCAGTGAGGATAATGAGAGGAGAGTAGGGCTGGAGATTCTGCCCCAGGGTCTCTGAGGCCTTCCACACGAGGTCCTCTAGAGAAGTCCCCATCATCCACATCCACTCTGAGTGCTAGAGGGGCCCAGCTTCTCCACTGGTTCCTATATGTAGACTGCTCTTGACCTGATGCTAGTCCTTAGGAGAGCTGTGCTGGTGGCCAGGTCTCTAGAAAGGTGCTGGACGAGGACAGTCTTCTAGCACGCAGGACCACTGATGGGCCATGTGGCACAAGTTCAGAATGAAGACCACTGGGTAGGTGCAATTTTTCTGCATGGCTGTCCTGGAATCACAGATCTTTCCATTTGTAAGAGACCTTAGATGCATCTTCCTTTCGATTTCTTTTTTTCAGATTTTTAAAAGAACTATAGGAAGTATTTTAGATTTACCTCTTATTGCCTGGGTCAGACATGTCCAAATGTTCCCTTCTGTCACAGCAGGCACTAGTGTCTCCTTGGCTCAGAAGCCTTTGAGATGCGTTTGTGCATCCTCTGTGTGCACAACACCAAGAAAGCTTATATTTTCCCAGTAAAACTAAATTAATGTGATATATCCATATTCTCTGTGGCCATTTGCTAAAAACCCCTTCTTGCTTAGTTTCACACAAGCAAGCAGGGGAATGGAGGGGTGGGCTGGGGTGGTTTCTAGACGGTCACCTGCCCTGCGTGTGGTGCCACATAGCATGTGTGAGTGTGAACACGGCGTGGCTTCGGGCTCAGGAACTGTGGGTTTGGGTCCTGTCCTGCCCTTTGACCTCTGGTCTGGCCTTGGCCCATTAATCAGTATTCATCTTCTAGTACAACCTGATAGTATAATTCTTCTCTCAATCTAAAATCACAGAGCTCTACTGGCATTTATTATCCTGGATGAAAAGTGTCATATTTCCTATGTGGGTCTCATTGAATTTTGGCATTTCCTAAGGATATAATCCTAGTTCTTCATGAATGCTACAGATGAAGGAATGGAAACAAACCGTGTTATTCCAGGACCTGGGGTTTGGGGCAGAGTCCAGCTAACCATAACACAAGACAAGTAAACCTCCATTCCTCCATATCCATCTGCTGGTCGGAGAGATCATCCTGTGCACAGTACCTTGAGTGTCCATAAACGGCTTTTAGAAAAGGGAAGTGACGTTGAGTATTTGTCCTAAATTTAGTCCTGAATTGAGTGAATACAAATGTTCTAAAGTTAGGATTCATCAGATTGGTCTCTCCAGCAATACCCTGGAAATATGCATTAATGAACTTGTTATTTAATTGAAGAACATTCATTCTGTTGTCTTCAGGAAGAGCCTTTCGTGATGGTGGCTGAGAACATTCTTGGACAGCCCAAGCGCTACAAAGGGTTCTCCATAGATGTCCTGGATGCACTGGCCAAGGCTCTGGGCTTCAAATATGAGATTTACCAGGCCCCCGACGGCAGGTATGGTCACCAGCTGCATAACACCTCCTGGAACGGGATGATCGGGGAGCTCATCAGTAAGGTAGGTCCCCAAAGCAGGTCCACAGGGAGGGGTACTCTAGCATGTGGGGTAATATCTGAACTTGGCCCATGATGCAGCTGGAACCGTGGGGCCAGCTCAACAGGCTGCAGCCACCATTCTCCACTTACCAAGGCCTCTTTTCCCCAAACTCCCCTGCTATACCCATCTCTGCTCTCTGGCTTCCTGTTACCTGGCTTGCTGTTTCCCCTCCCTGCCCACTGCTCTCACTCCTTCGAAGCCATTCCCTGGGCCTGCTCTGCAATACACCCTTCAAGGGACCCCCCCACAGTTGGCTGAGACAGGAACCCAGGGGGGTGTACTGGTGAGAGGTTATTCTCCCATCCCTGGCAGACCACAGCGAGTGTGAACACGTGTGTGTGTGCACGCGCGTGTGTGTGAATGAGCTTGTGCATGTGTGTGTGTCCGCATTACCCTGCATGGGTGGAGTGGCCTCCCCGGCAGCTCACAGTCATTTCAAATCGCCACTCTTCCTCCCTCCCGCAGAATCTGCATCCTCATTGAAACACATGGCAGGAAGCCAACTCATCATGCCCCGTCCCTGTCCTTGTCCTCTCATGACCTCTGGGTCTTTTCCCTATGACTGTTTATGATGGTGGCACCTGACTCAAACCCTCCCTCTCCAATACTGCTGCTGCCACCATTCTGACCATTTCTGCCATCCCTGAGGACAGCCCTGGCTCCTGGTGCTTGGACCTCCTTGCCTGTGGGGACCTTTGTCCCGCTCTGCTCCAGTGTTGGTGACGTGCATCTTGTCGGTGTCTTACCTGGCACCGTCATAGCCCACCCCATGACCACAGCTTCTTATCCTTCTGACTCCTCTGAGCCTTTCCTCCTATAACATAGGTGCTTTGCTTTTTAAACCTATAAAGGCAGACATAAAACAACTTTATTGTAATGAAATTTACATACTACAAAATTCACCCATTTTAGATGTACAATGATTTTTAGTAAATGTAGGAAATTGTGCAACTGTCATCGTAATCTAGGTTTAGAATATTTCCAGCACCCCACTGAGATTGCTCATTCCCATGTGCGGTTAATGCCATTCCCACCCCAGCCCTGGGTAGCCATCAGTCTCTTCCTACAGAGTTGCTTTAGTGAACATTTCCTGTAAATGGAGTCATGGGAGATGTGGTCTCTTACGTCTGGTTCTTGCTGTGTAGTGTCTGTATTCGAGGCTCACCCTTTGCTTCTATTTCCGTGCCTTTCTGATGCTGCATCCTTCCCGGCCGAGTGTGCCCTCCGTGGTTAACCAGACAAACCCCTGTCCCCTTCATCCCTTGTGATTCCCTGTGTTCTTGCACCCAAACCCTGAATTGATTCTATTATCTAACCTCTTGACTCTGATGTCCAGGTTGCTGTATGCAATTAGAGAAGAAAATTACAAATCTGTCCAGATTGATGTAGAAAATATGTGAGGTCTCCAATGTCAGCTGGACCTTCAGTAGAGCCTGAGTCTCTTGTCCTTTGTTGGGCCTCTTCGCTAAGTCTCGCAGAGACTAAGTTTACCTCTCTGCTTGAGCTACCTGATAATCTTCTGTCCTTTTCAATTAAAAAACAGAAAAAGATATCAGGGAAAGAAATTGAGACTTCTGGGTGTGAAATTCTACTTCCACTTCCTATGAAATTCACATCTACAGGCACCTGCACCCCCTCCAGAAGGGAGGGTCACCTTCCCTCCCCCATCAGCTTCTCCCACTGTCATGAGCTGAGCCCTCCACCTGTGTCATGAGTCAATTCCCTTGTGCCTCTTTTGGGCCTTGCTGTAAATTGATTTCCTTCCACCCTGTATTGTATACCTATCTTGCTCCACTAAATCTCTTTCTGAGCCTTTCAATATGTTCCAAACTGTCCTAATCCTAAAAATGATCCCAGAGGCTGGGTTTTTGAGAAGAGAGGCAAGAAGAGCCAGAGATGGAGATGCGGCAAGTGTACGAGGAGAGCTGTGATGTGGTCACCTGCAACACTTCTTTTCTCTTTACTTTAGATATGTTGTTGGATTTCAGTTTAGTACATCAGTCTATCTGCCCCTAGCCATATATTAAACCTTACAAAATGTTTCTATGTGTGTTTCCCCAACTTGAGCAGGTAGGTTGGATCAGTTGTCACAACTGGTTATTCTAAAGCAAACCTGGTTCTGCTGATGCCTTCTACTTGGGGTCCCAAGAGCCAAGATCAGGACAATGACTGTGCCTTTCAGTGTTCTTGTGGTCGAAGGGGGACTCTAGGCCCCATTATTTCCTGCCATGCACCCATCTAGGCATGACCCTCTTAACCTCATCCCACAGTCTAGATCCACCTTAGCAGGGTCTTTGTTTTTATAATAAAACCCATTTTGGAAAACAAAAGTTTGGGGAGATAATTTTGGGGTCACAGTATAGCATGTCCCAAGAGACTCTTTCTATTCTATTCTGTTTTTCCGAGACAGGATCTAGCACTGTTGCCAGGGCTAGAGTGCAGTGGCATCATTATAGCTCACTGCAACCTCAGACTCCTGGGCTTAAGTGATCCTCCTGCCTCAGCCTCCCAAAACAGCTGGTATTACAGGTGCATGCCACCATACCTGGCTAATATTTTTTTAAAAATTATTTTTTAGAGATGGAATCTCACTGTTCCCCAGGCTGATCTCTAACTTCTGGCCTCAAGTGATCCTCCTACCTTGGCCCCCCAAAGTGCTAGGATTACAGGCATGAGCCACCACGCCTGGCCACAGAGACTCTTGACAACATGGTTTTACTATAGGAAGAATGAACCCATGTGTCTGTAGGAAATGGGTCAAGGGTGGTGGAAGATAGAAATAGGTAGATGACCCCTTAACTCTTGGATTATTTTCCTCTCTAGTGTAGAGGCTGCTTATAAAACCATCAGGGACCGATATGTTAACGGGATTCATGCAGTCATCACAATTCACCATCCAACTTCTGAAGCACAGCTCGAAGGGCAGAGGGCAGACCTTGACCCAGGCAGGAACCCCGCAGGAACCCGCGACTGCCGCAGCTGATGACGTGTTTGCCTTTCAGAGAGCGGACTTGGCCATCTCTGCCATCACCATCACGCCGGAGCGGGAGAGCGTCGTGGACTTCAGCAAGCGGTACATGGACTATTCCGTGGGGATTCTAATCAGGAAGCCTGAGGAGAAAATCAGCATCTTCTCCCTTTTTGCCCCGTTTGATTTCGCCGTGTGGGCCTGCATCGCCGCGGCCATCCCTGTGGTGGGCGTGCTGATATTCGTGCTGAACAGGATACAGGCCGTGAGGGCTCAGAGTGCTGCCCAGCCCCGGCCGTCCGCGTCCGCCACCCTGCACAGCGCCATCTGGATCGTCTACGGAGCCTTCGTCCAGCAAGGTACCTTCCTGGTTTCCCCATGCTCGAATAGCAGCGGCCTGGGAGGCTTATCCATTGGCAAAGTTCTCAGACGTGTTTAACCAAAGTCATTTTACATGCAATCTTATCTAATCTCTAGGACAGCACTAATATCACGCTGCACCCAAATTCTCTCAGTAATATCAGACAGAAATTAAATGAAATGACAACAAGAAACTCAACTTTAAATCCTGATTCTCCACTTTAGATAAAATTAACTTTGGAGTTCTGCTTTGCACCTTGCTCCCCTCCCACATCAGAGTGATTGCTATGCACATGAGATTGTCAAATGAAACCACGAACCTTGCTTAAATTTGAAGACTTAATGGAGAAAAAAATGACAATTGTGTTGCAATCCTCTAAGCAGTACTCCAGCCATGCTTGAGATACAAACTCTCCTGCCTCTGAGAGGTCTGGATAGCTCTTCTATCCAGTGGTGAGTTGCAGAGTTGTGCAATTTTGACGGGAAACAGCAAATTGCAAAGTTCCTAACGTGAGTCTTGGCCCTATTTGCACTGTGGCAAAAGCTTTGCACAGTTATAGAAGGAGAATAGACAGTGAGAAGCTTTCTTTTGCTACCACCTGAGGGACCAGGGAGAAATAACTTACCTCAAAGAGGCAGCTTCTGACCAAAAGACGCATCAGTGATTTCTGAAAATCCTGGGGGAACAAAGCTATCTAGTGAGAGCTGAATATTAAGAAAAGTGATACGGCACATCTCATTTCGAGGTTTAAAAGAAAGTTAGGGCTCTCTCTGGGTAGGAGGTAATTCTGTATTTATAGAATCCCAAAGTCTATTCTGTGTGAATTTGAGTCGCAGACCTAGAAGTTCTTACCACTATGAGGTAGAATCTTCTAATTGGAAGATTTTGATATTCATAACTCTATCCTTGGTGCAGTAACAAACTTCATATAGCTAGAAGGCCAATCCTGACTTTTCCATATTTTGTGGTCCTCCATGCCTTTCCAAGATTTATGGTTTTAGGACCCTTCCCAGAATTGGCGCAGTCCCCCACGCCAGCTGGCAGTCCCTTCCTGGTCCCCAGCCCATCGCCAGTGGCGGCCTGCGTGCCTGGCGCAGGGTGGAGCGTCTCCGTGGGCTGGGAGAGCAGAGGCCCCGGCCAATCTGCCTTGCCTGCCTCCTGCAGGTGGCGAATCGTCCGTGAACTCCGTGGCCATGCGCATCGTGATGGGCAGCTGGTGGCTCTTCACCCTCATCGTGTGCTCCTCCTACACCGCCAATCTCGCTGCCTTCCTCACAGTGTCCAGGATGGACAACCCCATAAGGTAAGCCTAGTTGACCTTCTAGATCTGGAACCATCAGCCCTGAGAGGTGTTAAGGAGGATACAAGGCTTCTGGGGCAGCCATATGTCGTTGAGAGCCTGGGGTGGGGGTGGGGCGGGGCGGGGGAGAGACAGACTCGGATCCTGGGTCTGCAGATTGATGATCTGTCAGAATCTCTAGTGCATGGAGAAGAGCTTCACTCCTGTTGTGTTTTATCTCTTGCATAATTACATAAATGTATAAATTCATTAAATATTTCTCTAAAATTGAAATGCTGCCTACAAAACTAATAAATCAAGACATTAAAATTAAATTATATTTTCTCAGACATTTAAACATTGATTACAAACTCATTTAATAAAAATTTTATAAACATTTAGTTAAAATTAATTAAAACCAGAAGTCTAATGTATTTTTCCAATTTTCAAATACCTTAAAATGATTTTAAGAACATGCCAGTTATCATGATTATTAGAAAACGTACTTCACTTACATTTATAAAATTATAGAAACCAAAGACTAAAAATTGTCTTAATTTTTACAAAATGTTAAAATTATGGTATAATAGAGTGAGTTTAATGTAGAGAAGTGATGTTGGAAATGCTTTTATTTTATTATCAGATTCCCAAAGTCAGTGTAAATTACAAAAGAACTTGAACAAAGTGGATGTGGGTTGGACATGTGGTTGCTGAAGTGGCCACAGGCGTGGATCTATTCTGGGCTTCATTTGGTGCATTATTGGCTTCAATATTAACTCTCACTTGAGCTCCCCTCATGGTTTCCTGAGGTCCCGCCTTTTAGTAACCTCTCCCTCAGTCCATCATGTTCACTATGATCATGTTGGTGCTTTTGATCCACAGCTCTAATCAAGCCATCGTATTCAACCAGCTTCTATGTTTCCCAAGTAACTTAACATTTGTACCCCCATAATATGCTGAAATAAAATAAAATAAAATAGTTCAAACTCCATGACTAGGATTCAAGATTCAGTATGATATTATCTAGTATCTTTATCAAATTGACATTTTTATTGAGATAATTATAGATTTACATACAGTTACGAGAAATAACTCAGAAAGGTCTCGTAGGATCCTCTCCCAGTTTTCCTGAGGGTAACAATTTGCAGAGTTCTAGTATCATATCACAGTCAGGGTATTGACATTGATGCAGTTGATTGATTTTATTCAGATTTCTCCCCTTGTGCTCATCTCTATGTGTATGTATGTATGTAAGCGTGCACTTCACTCTATACAATTTTGTCACGTGTGGATTTGTGTCTGTCACCACAGTAAAGATACTGAGCAGGTCCATCACCACAAGGGTCCCTTGTGTTGCCCTCTTATAACCACCCCCACCTCTATCACATTTCTTCCTCTGCCACCCTGTCCCCAACCCCTGGAGACCATTCATTGTCCCCCATTTCTGAAATTTTGTCATTTCAAACATGTTACATAAATGGAATTGTATCTTTTGGCTTTGGCTTCTTTACTAAGCACAATTCCTTAAAGATGCATCCAGGTTGTTGTGCATATCCACAGTTCATTGCTTTTTATGGATGAGTCATATCCCAGGTACCCCAGTTTGTTTAACCATTTGCCCACTGTGGGACATCTGGGTTGTTTCCAGTTCTTGGCAATTATGAATAAAACTGCTACTGACATTTGTGTGCACATTTTTGTATAAACATAAGCTTTCATTTATATGTAATAGATCCTCAGGAGTGCAATTGCTAGGTCATGTGACAGTTGCCTGTTGAGTTTTATAAGAAACTGCCAAACTACTTTCCAGAGTCACTGTACCATTTTACATTTGTGCTAGAGATGAAGGTATTATCCAGTTTTTTCTGTGTATTTGCCAACATTTGGTGTTGTCACTATTTTTCATTTTACCATTCTGATAGGTGTAGAGTGATATCATATTGTGGTTTTAATTTGCATTTCCATAATGACTAATAATATCAGACACTTTTTCACATACTTATTTGCTATCTATCTATCCTCTTCAGTGAAATGTCTGTTCTTATCTTTTGCCCATTTTCTAAATGGATTATTTGATTATTACTTTTGAGTTTTTAAAGTTCTTTGTATATTTTACATACTAGTTCTTTGTCAAATGTGTGGTCTACAAATATTCTTTCCCATTCTGTAGCTTGTCTTTTCAACATCCTAACAGAGTCTTTCACAGAGAAGAATTTTTAATTTTTGATGAGGTTCAGTTTAGAAACTTACTCTTTCATGGGGTGTGCTTTTGATGCCAAGACTTTGCCAAGCCTGAGACCCTGAAGATTTTCTCTTGTTTATTTATTTTTTTCCTGAAACATTTTTAGTTTTAAATTTTACATTTCAGTCTACAATCAACTTTGAATTCATTTTTGTATAAACTTTGAGGTTTAGGGTGGAGCCCCACACCACCATATTTTTATCTGTGGATACACAATGGCTCCAGCACTGTCTGTTGAAAAGACTATCCTTCTTCCATTGACTACCTATACATATGCTTATATACTATAATATATATATTATGACATGATTATCACAGTCAAGCTAAGTAAGATGTCTTATCACCTCACATAGTTGTCACTGTTTTTTGTGTGTGATGAGAAAAGTTAAGATCTACTATCTTAGCAAATTTCAAGTATATGATGCAGTATTATTAACTATCGCCACCATACTATACATGAGATCTCCAGGACTCATCCATCATACCTAACTGAAATTCCATACTCATTGACCAAAAGCTCCCCATTTACCCAATCCCACCATTCTACCCTCTGTTTCTATGAGTTCAACTGTTTTAGATTCCAAATACAAGTGAAGTCATGCAGTATTTGTCTTTCTCTGCCTGGCTTATTTGACTTAACATGATGTCCACTAGATTTATCCATTTTTGCCACAAATGACAGAGTTTCCTTCTTTCTTAAGGCTGGATAATATTCTGTTGTATGTATACACACACACATCTGTCTATCTATCTCACATTTTCTTTATTCAGCTATCTGTGGATGGAAACAGGTTGATTCTGTATCTTGTTCATTGTGAATAGTGCTTCAGTGAACATGGAAGCACAGATATCTCTTCACGATACTGACTTCATTTCCTTTGGATATCTACCAAGAAGTGGGATTTCTGGATCATATGTTAGTTTTATATGTAAGTTTTTGAGAAGCTCCATACTATTATATTTTTCGATAATGGCTATATCAATTTGCATTCCCACCAACAGTGTACAGGGTTCCCTTTTCTCCACATCCTTGACATCACTTGTTATCTTTTATCTTTTTTGTACTGGCCATTCTAACAGCTGTGAGATGATACCTCATTGTGGTTTTGATTTGCATGTCCCTGATGATTAGTGACAAACATCTTTTCATATACCTGTTTTCCATTTGTATGTCTTATTTTGAGAAATGTTATTCAGATCCTTTGCCCATTTTTAAATTGAGTTACTTGTTTTTTTGCTATTGAGTTGCTTGATTTCCTTATATATTTTGCATATGAACACATTATCAGATGTATGGTTGGTAAATATTTTCTCCCAGTTTGTAGTTGTCTCTTCACTCTGTAGATTGTTTACTTTGCTGTGCATAGGACTTTTAGTTTGATGCAAACTCACTTGTCTATTTTGCTTTTGTTGCCTATGCTTTAGGGGTCATATCCAAAAAATCATTGCCCAATGTTAAATATCGTTCTTCTTCTGGAATTTTTACAGTTTCAGGTCTTATGTGTAAGCATTTAATTTGTTTTGAGTTGATTTTTGTATATGGTGTGAAATAAAGGTCTATTTTCATTTTTTCATGTGAATATTCAATTTTCCCAACACCATTCATTGAAGAGATTGTCTTCACCATTGTATATTCTTGGCAAGTTTGTCAAAAATCAATTGACTATAAATGCATGGATTTATTTCTGAGCTCTGTTCTCCTCCACTGGTCTATATATCTATTCATATGCCAATGCCATACTGTTTTGATTACTATAGCTTTTAACTGTATTTTGAAATCAGGTAGTGTGATGCCTCCAGCTTTGTTCTTTTTGCTTATGATAGCTTTGGGTATTCAGAGATCTTTTGTAGCCTCATAGCAACTTTATGACTGTTTTTTCTATTTCTCTGAAAAATGTCATTAGAATGTTGGTAGTAGCTGCACTGAATCTGTAGGTTGTTTGGGGTAGTATGAACATTTTAACAGTATTAATTTTTCCAATCCATGAACATGGGATATCTTTCCATTTATTTATATATTCTTCAATTTCTTTCACCAATGTTTTATAGTTTTCAGCATGCAGAAAGATCATCTTTCACCTCTTTGGTTAAATTTATACCTAAGAATTTAATTTGTATGCTAATTTAAATAGGATTTCTTTCTTGATTTATTTTCCAAATAGTTTGTTATTAGTGTGTAGAAACATACTCAATTTTTGTATTTTAATTTTGTATTCTACAAATTTACTGCAATCAGTTATTAGTGTTTTGGGTTTTCTATTTAGAAGATCATGTCATCTGAATAAATAATTTTTCTTCTTCCTCTCTGATGTAAATGTCCTTTATTTCTTTTTATTGCCTAATTTCTGTGACTAGGACTTCCAGTACAATATTGAATACATGTGGTGTGTTTTATCTTATTCCTGATCTTGGATGAAAAGCTTTCTTCAGCTTTTCAATATTTAGCATGATGTTAGCTGTAGGCTTGTGATGTGTGGTGTTTAGGTACATAACTTCTATTTATAATTTGTTGTAAGTTTTATCATGAAAGAATATTGAATTTTTTAAAATGTATTTTTTCTGCATCTTTGAGATGAACATATAATTTTTATTCTTCAATCTGTTAGTGTGGTATATCATATTTATTGATTTGTATATGTTGAAACATCCTTGCATCCTATGGATGAATTCTATTTGATCATGGTATATGATCCTTTTAATGTGCTGTTGAATTTGGTTTGTTAGTATTTTGTTGGAGATTTGTACATCTATTAATATGTTCAACAGGGATATTAGCCTGTAA